TTTTTTTTTTTTTTTTCTTCTCTTGGCGAATATGTTGTTGTGGTTTTTTTTTTTTCCTTTATTCCTTTCTTTGTTTCTCATTGTTGGGGATTCATTTCTTCTGCGTTGACTCTTTACTGCTTCCATTCCTATCGCATGGATGGATTCTTGTCTTTTTTATATATACAAGCCTTCTTTTTTTTTTTTTCTTTCTTTCTATTGATTTATTTCTATAATATAGATTTACGCATATCTGTATTACAAATTCCCCAGTAAATTAAAGTGAAAAAGAAGGGAAGAGGAGGAAAAGTGTGTGAGATCTCATTAACAGATATATTTGTTTATTTATATAGATATATTTATTTATATATACATACATGCGACCTCTTCTACGTATCGTCCATACATCTGTGTTAGCCTCATCATCATCATCATACGTGGCGGAATCCCAATGCCGCTCCATTAGTCGACTCACGCCTTATTGCCTCAATAGTAACGGTCCTATCATTAATAGAAGTACTCGTAGAGATCGTCATCGTAATAATAATAGTAGTAATAGTAATAATAATAATAAGAATAGTAACAACCTAACGGGATATACACCCCCACCGCGTCCATCCCCGACAACTCCAGCGGCTACGCCTGGCGGTGTGGAGTACAGCCGTAAACGACAAGATGAGGCGGACGCGGTGGAGAAACGTCGACGAACACAACAACGGGCCACCGATGCGGAAAGGCGTGGAGAGGAAACAATAAAGTCATCCGCAGTTTCTGAAATGGAACGTTGGTGGCCGGAGGAAAATCAAAATTGGACGGGTCATATGTTTGCCTCCTCTCTTGATAAGAATAAGAAAAAGTTTGATGGGATGTTTGTACCCGAACTAAAGGAAGTCCAAAGTCAAGATAAACCGTTAGAACTGAGTTATGAAGAGGATACTTTCTTTATTAATCCAGACTTTCATATGGCGGATGAGGTATTTGATGAGACCCGTCGATTTGTTCCTCCACCAAGTTTTGATCCATCTATTGATGAAATAGATGATGATGGATTTGTAGATGGACAAGTCATGCATGATATTCAAAAAGCCGTGGATGAAGATAAAAGACGATTAGAGGCTTTTGGAAATCCATTACTTGTGGAAGATCAGGTGGATTATCTTTTAGAACCACAACGTGAAGGACAAGAAAATATGCAGCAACGACAAGAATTTAATGGATTTGTTCATTGGGGTTTATTACATGGAGCTCACATGATATTGGAGGAAAATCATGATTATAAAAAAGCTCATGAATTTGTAAATCGCTATATGCGAGATATCGATTTATTTCAAAAATGGTTAGAACATCCAAAAGTTAGAGCGCATATTCAAAAGAAGTTTGGTATCGATATGCATGCCAAATTTGATAAATTGATGGCGCTTGTAATGGCAATGTATGCAAGGTCAAAGATTCAAGTATATGAAGATGATCCCGCTGGGGCTTTGAAATCCCTTACAGCTTGTATGGGTTTTATCACGGAAGGGGCTGATCTCAAGAAGGAAAGGCACCGTAAAGCGATTGGAGCTGTTCTTGCTGCCCGTGGAATGGTATATTGTAAATTGAAATCATTTGAACGTGCAGAGGATGATCTCACTCGTGCATTGAAGTTTGTCAATCAGAAACGATGTGCCACTCTCTATCAACTACGGGCAGAGGCACTAGAGGCAATGGGGAGAATAGAAGAAGCTCGATTAGATGAAGAACGGGCTGCAGAGATTTGGGAAAATGCGGAGGTAATATCGCCTGGTATGGATGGGAAACCGTACAAGTTTGTCTTGTAGGAAAGAAATGGATATATATATATATATATATATATATATATATA